CTATTTAGTGGTATTGATACGTCCATATGGGAAAGGATGCAGCAAAGGGGATGCTTATTGGGCAAATGCGACTCAGGCTTAGGGGATAGGGGCGTAGACTACTGTCAGTTGCCCTTTCTTTAGTTTGTTGTTCGTCAGAGGTGTTGTTCCTTTCCTTCGAGTTTCATCGTTATGCCTCATTGTTCTTTGTTTGCTTGCAATAGGCCCGATGCGCATGCTGTCTTTGCGTTGGTGCTGCAGCACATGTATATAAGGCCTGGATGCAGGACCCCAGCTCGCTGCAAGTGTCTTACTTCCCTTCTGGTCCCCTTCTGCACCTGGTGAAGCTCATCGGGGTGGTGGATGTTCCGTCTAGGGGTGAGTAGCAGCTTGCGCATGAATGCGGGGTAGAGGGCCCAGTAGCCCAAAAGACTTCAACGCCGCATGGCGTTGTGTATGTTATACGTCAAGTTAGATAATGGCATAGCGAGGGACGGGTGATTTGATGAGGAGCTCCAGGAGATGTGAAGGGATGTGATATGCAGCACCCCCTACACGCTTCTCCCGTTTAGAGAAGAGCGTCCCATGTGTGCAGAGGCACTCGAAGCGGCTTTGCAAAGCGCGCGGATTCAGTTTACCCTTGATGACTTCACTGGAAGGATCGAATGCGAATATACAGTTGGAGATGAACTGACCGAGTATCGTCAAAATCAAATCCTTGTGCGTTGTGCACAGGAGCTGACCACTCCTCCTAACCGCCTCTTCTGTGTATCGTCCCCTCCTTTGATGGTTTCGCTTCTTTTGTAACCTCCGCTCACATTTGCCTACTTCGCTCAAGTGCTGCAAACTCCGATTGCCCTGTTTCCTTGAGTGCTGTGTTGCCGGTGCATTGCTGTGTAGTCGGGGGCTCGGTTGGTACGGCACCCCCATGATTTAGCAGCAGGGGTTGGAGGCGTACACTTGCAAAGCTCATTGACGTCTTACTTGCATGCGAATAGCAGCAACATCACAGGCATTTGAGCTCTTGAGTTTGTGGCNGCTCATTGACGTCTTACTTGCATGCGAATAGCAGCAACATCACAGGCATTTGAGCTCTTGAGTTTGTGGCTGTCTTCAGGATGCCTTGTGTTGCGGGGGCCTAGTTACAATTTTCGGTTCTATCAATCTGCTGGGCAAAAGCGAGCCTTCGCTCCGAGTGCATGCAATAAGGCAGACGCAAACGGCAGGTAAGCACGTCTGGCCGTGAATGAAATGGTGATTGTAGTTCAAGGGATGAATGATGCAAAATTATCAGAGTTCGAGATCAACACGCTCCAATACTAGTATTGCTGCTACTTTTGCTGCCGCAGCGGACCTCATCTACCACGAATCTGCATGCCAAGCTGCATATCTGCGCCTCAAATACCCAAATGAAGAGCTAGACAATGCCGCGGCAGCGGGTCAGCAGCAACCCCTGCAGCAGCAGCAACAAGCACAACCCTTCGGAGTTCCGCAGGTACGTTATTCCCTTGCCTTATGGTCACCGTGGGGACAGCACTGCCATACTTTTGAGTTTAGCTGCAGATTCCACTGGACTTTTGCGCTTTCCTTGGTGCACAGCGAATTCAGGGGGCCTCACACTCTGCCCAGGCAGCTTTCCCATTTGGCTAAAGCTCACATGGAGTACCGGAAGGCCGCCGGCACTGTTGCTAGGTATATTTTTCCCTCTCTGCGGACACAGCGGCACACCGATGAAGACTTTTGTCCACTCATTTGCCTCTGAATATATGCGCTAGCGTAGAACAGCACTCTTCGGCACGTAGCCAGAGCGGCGCGGCCAGTCATGATTTGCTGATCTCTATACTGTACTTGGGCATTTAGAGCCCTTGTGCTGGCGCGTTATTCTCCTCTTTCCATACTTTACACAGACCTTTGCACTGCTGGTGCTTTGGCGATCCTGCCTTTTGCTGAGTATACTTGGATATTAGAAGCGGGGGAAGCGAAGTTGAATAGCTTAAAACGCAGAATACTTTCTGAGGACGTCTGGCTGCTTATTTTGGCAGCCAGTCAGCTGAGTTTTGTACGCGGGATTCATTCGCGCAGCGACGACCGCAGTGTTGGGCCTTAGCCTGGTGGAGACATAGACGCATATTAAATGGCTTGCCGGGTCGGTTTCTAATGTTGCTAATCCTGCTGTTTGTGGGCGGCTTTGCACTTGGCGCTTTCGTACGCTCGAGTTGTACTGAAGCGCCCTACTGACGTAGCAGTCACCCCACTGCAGAGTGAAGCCAACTGGAACACCCGCATCTGCCTTATTGACGACATCCCCAGTCCTCACACACATATTCTATCAAACGCGTAGTCAAGAAATCTTTTACTAGCATCATTGTCGTCGTTAAGACAGGTATTGACCGAAAGCCGTACCCGCCTGGATCATCAAGTGGTTTGTCCTGCACTGAACACTGAACTAGGCCGAGACCAAGCCTGTGCTTTGCGAAAAAGTTTCCGAACCAGGAATTGAACCTGGGTTTACACGGCCGCAACGTGCTGTCCTAACCTCTAGCGGCACAAGAACATGCCGAACAACTGGCACGAGCAGGACAACCCCGGGTGCAGNGCTGTCCTAACCTCTAGCGGCACAAGAACATGCCGAACAACTGGCACGAGCAGGACAACCCCGGGTGCAGAGCACACTGGTCTGGAGCAGCAAGTGGTTTGGCTGCACTGAACACTGAACTAGGCCGACCAATCCTGCGCTTTGCGAAAAAGTGTCCGAACCAGGAATTGAACCTGGGTTTACACGGCCACAACGTGTTGTCCTAACCTCTAGACGATTCGGACCAAGGGTCACTTCCACAAGCAGACACGCGCCCCAGACATCGCGGCTATCTAATCGGCTGCGCTGGACACCCATATACACTTGCGGTCGGCCGGCAGAAGTTTTGCAACAGCGTGCTTCTTGTTTTGTGCCGTGATCACAACTGGCATATCGAGTTTCTATCTGAAACTCGAGCCTCTGCCTGCTCAACGCCGACCGCTGCTCGCGGGCGGTTTGCCTGCTTCGCCACGCCCGCCGACTGCTGCTGCTGGGCCGCTGGTCCGAATCGTCTAGAGGTTAGGACAACACGTTGTGGCCGTGTAAACCCAGGTTCAATTCCTGGTTCGGACATTTTAGGCCTCGCCTGCTCTCGCAAGCTTTTTCCTCTTGCCATTTCAAGTCAGATGTCAGCATCAGTCCGGCGCCTTGCAAGCATCCCCCCATAGCTAACACGCACACGACTCCAGACCATACACACACCCACACAACAGGTGTGTAAATACAGCAGCTTCAGCGAAGCTGGTTCCGTTGCCTTCGCTGGCTCGATTTGCTGGAGCGCATGCTCCCCTCCTACCGTGAAGATGGCAGTGGTGCGGCCTCTCCGTGCGCCGTTGACAACAGCCCACTAACCGCAACAAAGCACGACAATCTCAAATGCCAGAATATTAGAACAGCGGCACAGGAAACGCCGGAACAAGTGCCACGAACACGACAACCCTTGGTGCAGGGCACACTGGTCTGGACCAGCAAGTGGTTTGGCCTGCACTGAACACTGACCTAGGCCAAGACCAAACCTGCGCTTTGCGAAAAAGTGTCCGAACCAGGAATTGAACCTGGGTTTACACGGCCACAACGTGTTGTCCTAACCTCTAGACGATTCGGACCAAGCGTCACTTCCACAGGCAGACACGCGCCCCAGACATCGCGGCTATCTAATCGGCTGCGCTGGACACCCCTATACACCTGCGGTCGGCCGGCAGAAGTTTTGCAACAGCGTGCTTCTTGTTTTGTGCCGTGAAAACAACTGTCCTATCGAGT